AAAAAAAAAAAAAAACCCTACTTTTCTTTCATGAAATCAGTAAATAAACCAGCAAGCTTGTCAAAGAATCATTTCAATCTAACATTTTATTTAGCATATAAATTAGGTGGGGAATTTTCAACAATATACTTTTCTAAAGTTACTAAGTAAAAAAAGACAGACAAAACAGAGTGATTCAATTTATATAAAATTCTAAAAAAGCAAAACTCATGATAGAAAGTAAATCCCCATCTGTCAGGGCCCAGATGAGGGAAGAGGGTGACTACACACGATCACATGAGAGGTTTAGGAGGAGACGGGGATGTTTTCTATCATGATTTTGGTGGTAGGCAGACAACTGACCATGTTTGCAAAACTTCTAAACTCTACACTGCAAATTAGAGAATTGCATTACATAAAAACTCTACCTCAACATTTAAAAAGGATTATACATAATAAATCAGCATGCTGTTCCAAATATCATTTCAGTCAAAATATTTTACTCAGTAGGGCCAGGGGTTATAGCTCAGTGGTAGACTGCTTGTCTGGCATGAGCAAAGCTCTGGGTTCCATCCCCAGCATCACAAAAGAAAAAAAAAATTTTAACTCAGTAGGAAAATATTTATTTGTAGAAAATCTATAAATAATATATAAATACTTTTTTAAAGCAGTGTTTCTAAGAAATATCTTAATTTTCTTCTAGAAAAACCAGCAAAACCAAGAAGGACTTGAAAAGTAATCTTGAGTGGAATTTAAAATTCTCCAAAGCAGTTGCACAACCTCCCCACAGGGAGACTGTACCTGGAGCCAACAGACACCGTCTCCAGAACCTCACAGGATCCATGTTCAGGTCATTCGGGGGCCGTTAAATAACAGCATGGAGGAAATGGCCTGTGGTAACCAGACTGGCAGGAGTCAGCCACTGCCACCTGGCTCCACAGGTGCCTGATGGCAGGAAAGAGCCAGCCTTGGTACACCGACAGCTTCTGATGTCCAAAGAGAAGCACAAATCTGGCCTCTGACATGAAATTTTCCAATTTTTTGTTTGTTTGGACTCAACAAAGAATGGGCATGGGCAGGATTACGACCAGTGGTCCATAATCTATGATTTAGGAACTTATCAACAGCATAATCTTCACTCCAACTGCTTACCTCTTTAACTGTGATCTGGAGTAACCCAGGGTATTAGTGCCACAGAAGTAAAGTCTGTCTCAAAATTACATAAATATCACTAATTGTGATTACACTGTGATCACTAATGGGAACCCAGATCCTGCTGGTAAGAAAAGGAAAGATGGGTAAGGGTGAAGAGAGAAGAAGGGCTCAGGAAACACTGCAGAAAGGCTGACTTTCCGGTCACAGTCAGCATCCAGACTCCAGAGCAATGAAATAATCCATGTGCTGAAATTTGAGAACTTCATTGCCCCAACTGGTCCAACCTGGCTGTAAATTTCGTGCAAACAATTCCAAACATTCCCCATCTGGCTTGATGTAGTCTTTTAGAACCTCTGTTGAAAACAGAGAGAAAAATATTAACCAGAAAGAAATCCATTTCTGTTTAGCATGTAAGAGTAGAAGAATATTTTACTTTTAAAAAGCAAATTAATGTCAAGGATTTTATCACAGGCTTTACTATTTATAGGCAGAAAGTATAAGCATCCTTGAGATTAGGAACGATACCTTCAGAACTTTCAGCAGTCCTGATTTATTGGCTTTCATTTATAAACGAGAAGTGAAGTTTTTAATACCCACACAGGTGATTCTCCAATTTTCCAATACTACCGACATATCTCCTGGGAACTTAACTTAATAAATGTAATCTGTGCACAAAAAAGAACTCTATAGAAACAATACAAAGATAATCCACTTTTAAAATAGAGGTAAAATGTACGTTTCTTTGAAACATATACTTTGGTGAAAGAAAAATATAGAAATATGCAGAAAAATAATTAACAAATAACTACAACCTCGTCAGCTTTAACTTGGTACTACTAAAAACATTCCCTCATGTTCAATTTCTAGATCTTTCTTTACCTAAAATTTTACCATACTTCCACAATTAAGTAGTCTTTTTTACATATTAACAACTACTATATGGAAAGTATATTTTGTTAGGGAAAGGTACCTCACATATATGTTGGCTAAACAGCTGTTACCTACACTAAATGAAAGAATAACATAGAAGGGTTTTTTAAAAACATAGCTGAGGGGCCGGGGATTTAGCTCAGTGGTTTCGCTGCCTGCTGTGCAAGTGCAAGGACCCAAGTTCAATCCCCGGTACCAAAAAAAAAAAAACATAGCTGAGGGGCCGGGGACTTAGCTCAGTGGTTCTGCCGCCTGCCTCGAAAGCACAAGGTCCTGAGTTCGATCCCCAGTACCAAAAAAAAAAAACACAGCTGAGGGGCCGGGGACTTAGCTCAGTGGTTCTGCCGCCTGCCTCGAAAGCACAAGGTCCTGAGTTCGATCCCCAGTACCAAAAAAAAAATAAAAATAAAAACATAGCTGAGATGGATGACAAATATTAAAACAGCTTAACTTTGATCGTCTCTCTGGTCAGCTATTTTAACCACATATCAGGAATTGAGTATAAAAATAATAATTCAGAAAAGTAAAACATTAGAACAAACAAAAATAGTCCATAATTACTACATAAGGTTGAGTTTAGCAGAAACCTATCAAATTCCCTCTAGGAATGATAAGGCTTCCTTGGGAATTATTGGTTCAGGTAAGGTTTGAAAGTCCATATATCCCATATTTTAGGTTTCATAATGTTCTTCAATTGCACTCACAGAAAAATACTTGCTAATTTATCCAAAAGTCATGGTTTTATTTATCAAAATTCAAAGAGGAGTTAAAAGTTTGTATTGTTATAATTCAACTGTAATTCAACTAAAATTCAAATTTGGGCTTTGATAGGTTCTAGAAGACCGTGGCATGAAGGAACTCTAGTCCTTTCATAAGCATATAATTAAATGCTACTACATTTGAAAGAGAAAGATTTCCCAAGTCTTAAGAATAATTCCAAATCACTTTTCCATTTTCTTCCCATAAATTTAAAGCCTTACCAGCCTCCATTTACTTTTAGTGTGGTCTAAGGTATAGAAACAAGATTTTCTTTTTATGTTGTTCAGATTTTGGTACAAATTTGTGAGAGGAATTTTACATGGGAGTCAGCCAGCCAAAAATGTTTACTATTCTGTGCACCCATTACAATCAGTCCTAACGGACTTAACAAAGAAAACAGAATTATGTTTTATAAGAGTTTACAATCTAATAAAGATAGTCAGATACTTCAAGTGGAAAAATACAGACAACCTAAACCCATTTATTACCATTCTTTCTCAATGTAATATACTTTTACATTTTTTTATTTCTAACTGAAAAAAATCAAATACTATTTTTATAACATTAACTACAATTGTTTTATGTCAGAACAAGGTGAAAGCAATAAAGGCTAATTAAGCTAGGCATGGTGGTGCCCATCTGTGAAACTAGCACTCTGGAAGGCTGAGGCAGGAGATCACAAGATAAAGCCCAGCCTAGCCAACTTAGTGAGACTCTGTCTTAAAATAAAAAAGGCCTGAGGATGTAGCTTAGTCCAAAGGCCTTGGGTAGAAGAAAAGAAAGAAAAAGAAAATAAAAGAACTAATAAAAACATTATTCTTAACAATTTAAAATAACCTAAAAAATAAAAAAGTAAATAAAATAACCTAAAAATAAATACAAATGACTATATTTAATCACAAATAAGATACATATATACCTAGACAATTGCATAACACCTGGCATTAGTAAAATATCTAACTATGGAAAGGAAGCATTCAGCGCAGAGCCAAGCATTCCTTCTACTCTGGAAGCATGGGTTAAGAAAGGGGAGAAATGGCCCAAACATCAGTGCTCAAAATCTCATCAGCTACATTTCACTCCTCAGATAGAAACTGTTAGTAAAATAGAAAAAGGAGTGGAAAATCCTCTAATGTAAAATAAGGAAATCAAATTTTTTTACTTAAATACTCTTATTTCATAATTTCCTACCTTAAATCCTTAAACTTAAGAATATGTATTTAATAAATCCTTAAACTTAAGAATATGTATTTTTAATGTTAGACTGTAAGCCATGGCTATTGATGATTTGTCTTTCATTCTATAGAAGAAAACCTCATAAACATATCACTTTGAAATGGAATATGCTGCCAGTATGTTATATTGTGCTATTTTTTTCTTACATTTTGCAACAGAAATAACAAATTAAACTTTTTAAAAATTTGGTGTTTCAAACAAGCCAAAGAACATTTCATTTTATGAATATTACATAAACAGTTGAAGAACATTTACAGGTAAAAGTTCTAAGCACTATATCTAGAATATATTATGCAAATCCCTAATTATAATATCAGGATAAAATATATCACAGAAATCTGAAAGCTGTCTGATGGCTCTAACTTGTATGTATACCTAAAATACCCACAAGAATATAACCTCAAAAAAAGCATTACAAATATTTGTCTATCATTTCTTAACCAACATATATAGTGAGTTATTCAGATTTTTTTCCGCTAAAATGCAACGTTTGTTTTTAAATGTGCCTAACTCTAAAGATGTGTTTGTGCTGCTCTCTTCTGGGAGGATGGAAGAACTGTGTTTCATATTTAGGCTATACTACCTCAGAGGAAGACAAATTTTTACTCACTATTTTTAAATCTTTTGCCTTAAGAATTAACTTTAAATACAATTTCATTCTATTTTAAAGAAACTGGTAAACAGCTTAACTATCATTTAATAATAAAAGATTTGGGTTCTTGGGTTTTTTGTTTTCTCTTGTTTGTGAGACAGAGTGTTGCTAGGTAGTTCAGGCTGGCCTTGAACACAAAACAATCCTTCTGCCTCAGGCTCCGGCATGCTGGGATTACAGACGTGTGGCACAATACCCAGCTGTTTTTGGATTCTTTTTAAGTAAAATGTAAACCCTAAAACAATCACTAACTTAAGCTTTGGAACTCACCAAATGAGAAAGAAAATTCAAACAACAGATTAGATTTCCCTATTGAGTATAACTGATGTCACATTCAATTCTTTTTTCCCCAAAGAACAGTACAGTCTCGCTCTTCACAGTCACAAACTGAACGCGTTAAAGAGTTCATGCAGTGAAAATCTGAAGGTGATTATTCACTGAGAAACACTTTAAGTCAAAGAAAGTACAATCACATAGACATCTGAAGATTTCTCAATTCAAGGAATTCTAAAAAAGATGTCTTTGTATAAATAATTTAAGATAACAAAAATCCTGAATGCTACCAAAATATTTCTTCTGAAAAATATACTTTCCTATACTTTTCTTGTTGCTGAGACAAAAATACCCGACACCCAAAATTAAAGGAGAAAGGGTTTATTTAGCTCATAGTTCATAGAGGTTTCTGTCCATAATCAGCTGGCTCCAAGGCAGGGTGGCAGAGGGGCAACAGTTCATGCCAGCGTGAGACAGAAAAAGCAACAAGGGAAAGGGGAAGGGCCCTCAACAGCATCTCTCTGCCCCTTTTATCTTATGCAGATTACTTAGGGTGGGTAGCACTCACATCCTCAATCCTAGTGCCCTTGAGCCTACAATTGCACCATGAACCAATTCCAGAAAAGCCCCACCTATGACTGCATGAGGATTTGGGGGGACATCAAGACACAGCCATAACACTCTACAAAAAAACAAATCAAATAATTTCTCAGATAACTAAAAAGATGATGCCCATGATGAAGTACATGGTTAGCAAATCTAGGGTAGATACAGATTAAAAAAAAAAATAGAGGAGCTTAGGAAAATGACAAAAACCATGAATGCCTAACACAGGAAAGAAATAGAATCCATGAAACAGATTCAAAGAAATATCCAGGAGATTAAAAATTCCATTGAAAGTATATGCAGCAGAATCAACCAATGTGAGGGCAAAATATCAGATAAAGAAGACATGTTTGCAGTTAGTGATAATGAAAAGAAAGACTTCTTAAAAACAGTAAGGGACTATGAAAAATCAATCCAACAGCTGCTAGATGATGAAAGAAGAATAACATTGATTAGAATCAATGAAAAATCAGGAGCTACCACAAAGGACATTAAAAAACCTGTTCACAGAAGTAATGGCAGAAAACTTCCCAAGCGTGGAAAATGAATTTGACATACAGATAAATGAGGCACACAGATTTCCAATTAGCCATGGTCAAAAATAATCTACACCAAGGCATATAATAGTCAAGATTCCAGAAATTCAACACAAAAACAGAATATTAAAAGCTGTTAGAGAAAAGAAACAAATCATTTCCTTTATAAGGAAAGCCCATCAGGGTCACAGCAGACTTCGCGACACAAACCCTTAAGTCAAGGAGAGCTTGGAGTAAAGTATTTCAAGCCCTAAAAGAAAACAACCTCCAACCCAGACTCGTGTACCCTGCAAAACTATCTTTAAAATCGATGGAGAAATAACATTTTTCATGATGAAGAATATCTGAAGGAATTCATGAC